AACAAGAGAACTATTGATTACAAAAATAGGATAAAATATAAAACTGTAAAACAACAAAAAGGTTTTGAAGCTAGATCCGTATTTAAAAACTGTAAAATACTCGTGGCATTCTGTTCGCAATGTCATGTTTACTGTCTGAAAACAGGTTCCCCAGTGAGCTTTGGCTCTGTGACAAATGAAACATCGGGAACTTCACATTTCTCCAATTCAAACACCAGCAACTGAAAGAGAAACAAAAAATGTTACTGTATAGAATCTCCCCACGCTCCAACTACTATAGCCTCAATGAGTGATTTAATGCTTCGTCACTTCCAATCATGGTGTGGAGCATCAGTGTTTTCATCTTTTGGAACCATGATGTGTTTAAACACTAAAGGTGTACACCACATGAACATGGAATCATGGTGCCCATCGGAAAACAGTGAGCATCAAAATACCTTAAGAGGGTATGGATTATTTAACGCTAGATATTTCCCGAACCGCCAGTTATTCGAGGAAATTTTAGTTCCTTTGGCAAAACGTTCTTACAAAGGTACCAATGTCCGTAGCTCGAAAAACTCAAGATTCTACTGTACAGTATTTCATGTTAACTAACATACCTCATTATGTCCCTTGTTTAACCATGGTGCTGGGAGATATAGCGTCTCTTGTGGCCCTATTTGCCAGTACCTGCCTAGGTTATGTCCATTAATGAAGCACACGCCTTTGGTCCAACCTTTCATGTGCAGGAATGTGTCTTTAGGTTCCTCTGTCACCTCAAATGTTCCACGGTATAGTGATGGTATGGAGGGTAACTCTCCTTCTTTCATTTTCGTCCAATCTGATTCTCTACTTATTCTACAACACAACGTAACAGTGGTCTCACTGTGCATAGCGTTGCAATATGCCTATGGTAGTTGCAATTCAACACTTCACAAGTAATGCGATTCTCCATTACATTCATGCATTTGATCACTAAAACAGCAATATGCATGACGTTGCAATAAAGGTAGTTTCAATACAATGTTTCGCTAGTGGCGCTATTTTAGTCAACAATCAAGAAAAAAGACTAACAAATGATTTTGTTCACTAAATCTTCACCTCTTGAAAAAGTCTCCCTTGAAGTCCATTGGGTAGATTTTCCAGCCTCTTTGTTTTTCTCCATCTACCAGAACATCACCAAGTATGCCTGGACAACAAATAAAATTTGAACACTTTATTACAGCGACAGTTCTACGTTCCTCAAAACTGAGCAAAGACATTAAAGATGTTATTAACCTTGTCATAATTAAATGTGCGTTAAGACTATCCCTTATACTTCCACTACCTGTATCCAAGAGCAGACATTTACAGGTATTGTAAACATTGTTAGTATTTTTTTTCCTTAGCAGTGGTTACCAGACTCTATAAGAGCAAAATAAATAGCCTCACCTTTCCGTTGTTTGTTCATGAATGTCCAAAAGTTCACGCGCCCCATGTTTTCAACAAGAATATCAAGCTGAATTTTAGAACCCTGCAAGGGCAAGAAACAAATCTTTGCCTGTGTTCATCTGATTATTTGTGAGCTCACGGCCAGGTCAAGAATGCGAGAATCAAGAATCTTTTTCCTTCCATGAGAGCCTTACTGAGTCAACGTGGAGAAGAATAAAGAACAACATTAACTAGGATAATGAACCAAGTTTGTCACCTTTTCATTGTGTATTTGGTCATTTTGAAGTTTTATTGTAACTTTCGAAAGTTCTTTTTCGTCAATGTAAGATTTGTCTTGTTCCACTGAGTCAGTTGTGTGGATCAGTTGGAAGTCAAGGAAAACCTAGAACAAATTGAAAAGAAAATAATTTATTTGATATTAGCAACATTTCTACCTTTTGTTAAATTTAGAACGCATTTGTACTATGAGT